AAACGTATCACCAGCACGCTCGAACGTTGGAAGCATGCACGGGCTATGACGAAACTACCATCGACGGGCTGGCGACAAAGCTACATAACCAGTTACGCACCCTGCGAAAACTAACTGAAAAGTGTGTCAAAACTAGGTTCGCTTGTTTCGGAACATGACACAACACGGTCAAAACAAGGTCAAAACTAAGTCAAAAATAACCCAAAACTAGGGCACAACTAAGGCAACACTGCATGCGACACATCACCATATCAGTTCCGATGCCCGAAATTTCGCTAAGTCACCCCCCATTCACCCCTGGGGAAAACGAGTGGCGCCGACTTGTTTGTTTTGAAGGGTGTTGTAAACAGTAGCCCAAAGGTTATAGGTCGGCGCACCGTCCGATTCGGATGGCAAACGGCAGGGGGGGGGGGGGTTCGACGAAAGGGCAGCCCCCCACTTCGCGGCAATTTTCCTTCGCGCGGCGCGCGCAAGCGCAGTGGCGGGGGCCCGTGGGCGGGCCCGAGAGTGGTGCGAGGGGTCGCGGTGGAGGGGTCGCCGTGACCGTGGGCGCTGTGAAAGGAGGAGGGCGAAGGCGTTTCGCACGCGGCGCAGGCGGGCGACGGCGGCGGCTGCGCTATGCGCGGCGAAGGGGGGCGGGGGGCGCAGGGGGCAGGGGGGGGGGGGTGAGAAAGGTGAGAGAGAAGGTTGTGCGGAGGGGGAAGACGAGGGAGGAGCGACTGGGCGCGCTTCGAATTGATGCTGGGCGCCGACAGCGAGCTGCGCGCAGGACTCATTGGAACACGGCTGCGGTGTCAATAGTTTGGTGGTCGCGGCGGCTTGGTTGCCGAACTCGCCAGAACGCGGCGGCGGGCGCTGCGCGCGTCGGGCGCCGTTGCGCATTGGGGAACGCAGAGGGTTAGCGGGAGCAACGGCTGAGTTGGAGATGAGGGCGCCGTTGAGGGGGGCGGGAGGGGGGGGGGGGGTGTAAGCAAACACATCCCTTACTATGTTGTTGGTTTGCTTCTTGGCCATGCATCCTGCCCGAGGGCCAACGCTGTGATCCATCACTATGCTGTTGGGGCGTTCCTTGCGTCGGCGTGCCCGACAACGCGTGCCCGACATGGCGGCGGCGCCGCCCCACTCGCACCTATCGTCGCTATCGGGTGTCGTTTTCCCTAGCGGCTTCCCGTTTGAACCGTCTGACTAGCTAAAAACCTATGTGTTTCGATCGTTTTCGCTTGACTTCGACGCTCTGTCGACACGCGCAAACGCGCCGTCAACGGATCCCACGACTGAAATATATGGAAAAGCAGTGGTTGTTCAATGGTTCAGGCGGTTCAAGCGAGAAACACTTTAGGAACACTGTACCAAACGCGCCACGGCGAACTGCAAGCGGCAGGGAGGGATGGCTCGTTGGCCCGACACACATGTTCCGTTGCATCTACAGCGCGCAACATGCCCGCGCTCACGCAGGCGGATTGGATCACGCATGCGTGGTGGGCGGCAGAGAAACAACTGCAACGCGAAGCTATTCTGGAAGTTCGACGTGCGCCAGCGTAGCGGTGATGGCCTGAAGATGTTGAGGCTGCGGGTTGTTGGGTGTTTCCGCAAGCGCGCGGCTGTGATTCGCCCGCGTGGCATTGGGGTCGTGCAAGTAGTGTTACGTCGCGTTGTTTTTTGTTTGTGTGCGGAACGTATGCGTCGGCATGAACGCGTCGTTCCTTGAGTTTGGCGTTTGGCAGTCAGTCAGACCCGCGCCTCTCGAATTACGAGGCGGTGGAGGGGGTGCCTGTTGGTGCCGCTGGGCATGGGGCCGACTGGTGCCCCTCCGCAGGGCCATCGACGCCGCGGCACCCCAGTTGGCGATTGGCGGCCAGGAGCAAACTGCCACGGTGACAAAGGGGCCCACGACTCTGCTCCGCGGCGCGTCGCCAACGCCGCGTCGCGACGGGCGCGTCGAAGACGCCGAAATTGGCCGCGCGCGGCGCGGCGCGCGTGTCTGGGAAGTCACGCGGTCCCCTTCCATATCCCCTGCCCGCCCTTATTCCCAGTGCAAGCGGCGGCCCGAAATCTGCGTTCCTTTTCAATCGCATGTTCGTTGCGGTCACATTCGGCTTCGCGGTGGGCACGGGGCATGCGACGACGGCTCAGTCACCGCCCAGAGCCCGCCCGCACGGCGCTCGCGAACGGGCGCGGGGCTCCATGGTCGCACGTGGGGGGCCGCGCTGACCAGAATTGCGAAGAGGCGGGCGCGCGTTTCGGCACCGAAGCGGGGGCGCGGGAGAGGCGCGCGGGTTTGTGATTTCGCCAAAGGGGCGGCTGCATTCATTCAGCAAGGCCAGCGGCGGCGCCGCCGAACGTTGCGGCGCCGCGCACAACCCGCCCGCCCGAAGCAACACCTTCGAGGACAGCCTCGCGCCCGCGGTGGAGCAGAAGGCCCATCTCGCGTCGACCGCCCCCATCGCTGGAGAGAGGCGCATGGCTGAGCTGGGTGGCCAGGAGCTTCGCGACCTCTGGGGCACTGCGCTGCGCGCACTTGTCGGGCCAGCAGGACCCGCGCCGCGGAAATCCATTGCCCGTCGTCAACGTTGTCGCGCGGGCAGTAGTGTTGCGCGATTTCAGTGGCTTAGTGGGCCAGTAGGCCCACGGCAGGATCGTGCGGGCGCGTTTTGCATTGTTCCACGGACGCGCAAGCGCGGCAATGGCGGGCGTCGGATGGCATTGAGCGTTTTGTTGCCGTTCGGCGGGCTACACGCGCGCGTGGCGCCTCGGACATGCAGCGGGCAAGCCGCTGCGTGGGCCGTCATGAAGACGGATCAGCCCAGGGCGTGGCAGTATGCTTGCGCCCACCTGCAGCATTGCTCGCAGGGCGAAAGATTGCCGCTGCGCTCAAGCGCGCGATGGGGGCGGTTCCGCTTATTCGAGCCAGCGGGTACTCCGGTGGAGCGGATGCCGCGGCGATGCCAGGGGAGTAGCTTGGCGCTTTTGAAGGGTGCATCAGCCAGGTTCGCAAGGAGCTGGCGCCCTCGGCCCGCGCGGGCAACGCGGGCGGCGACGGCGCGGCGTGGCGCGGCGCCTAGTATTACGGAGCAGGGGGCGCGTCGACTTTCGCCGATGGGAGGTTTGGTCAGGGCGGGGGCGGCGGGGGCGTCTGGGGGGGGGGGGGCGGAGGCGGCGGGCAATAACGGGGCAGGTTCGCAGCCGTAGTGAAAAAGAACTCGTAGTAGGAGTGTAGGAAAGCAGCAGCAACAACATTGGTAGCAGTAGCAACAAGAATCGCAATAGCCGTAGTCGCCGCCATAGCAGTAATAGTTTCCGTGCTTGTAGCAGCAACAGCGGTGGCAACAAGAGTAGCAACAGCATCAGTAGTCGTAGTAGCAATATGGTAGTGCGGTGGCATGGCATTCTAATAGTAGTAGTAGTAGCAGTAGCAGTCGTAGTACTAGTATTAGTAGTACCATGAGTCGTTGCAGTCGCAGCCGTAGTAGTAGCAGTAGTAGTGGTACTAGTACTCGTGGTAGCAGCCGAAGTGGTGATAGTAGTAGTGGTAGTAGTAGTAGGAGCGCGTGTGGTAGTGGTAGTGGTAACACTCCTAGTAGTGGTGCATTTGGCGGCGGGCACGCTGGCGCGGCGACGTGGTGGCGCGGTGCAGTCCCCTGCCCTTCCACCCCTTGGTTGCCGCAGCGTTTCCATTGTGTTTGTTGCAACCTAGTTTGTTTGTTTTTCTCGTGGCGCGCGCGGTCTGGCAGCTTCGCGTGCCTGGCATTGCCGCGCCGTGCTGTCCCCCGTCCCCCCAGCCCTCGTATTTTCTGTTAGAGCGCGCGCTGGTTTGTGGCGCGCGTCCGAAGCGCGTCGCGCGCAATGCCGCGCGGTTGTTGTGCCTGCTTCATCCCGTGAACGCCGTTCGTTATGAGCCCACCGCAAAAAAAATCGATGTGCCTTGCCATGTGTTTTTTCTTTCGTCGATCGTCGTCGTCGTCGCCGTGGTCGTCGTCGTCGTCGTCGCCGCCGTCGTCGTGTCGTCGTCGTCATCGTCGTCGCCGTCGCGGGGTGCATTGTCGCGCGGGAATTCGCGGGAGGTTTGTCATGAACGTCAACATGGCGTGAGGGGGCCGCCGTGGGGCGTCGGCTTGGGCCGTCGGGTGGCGCCGTTTGGATCAACGGCGTGTGTGGCATTGTTGCATTTGGTATTTCCTAAGCGCGAGCGCGCCACGTCAGCGTGATCCTCCTGTTCGTGGCCGCTCCATGGTTCGTTGTACTGCGCGTGCAGGTGAGTACGTATCACGTGTACATAACATCTTACCTGATGCGTATTTTATACATTATGTAGTTCAAGGTTTTCGTGCGTGCTCAATAAATTCATGCCAATTCGGTTTGCCGTGCGCAAAACATGCTCAACGTTGCTTGTGTATGTAGCATGTGTAAGGTATACACACGTCGTGTGCACATGTGGCGGCACGCCCAATTACACCCTCAAGGGCCACAGGGGCACGCACGTAATACCTTAGCATTAGTAGTTGCGGCAATCCGCCAACACAACCGATGCCGATTTCCTGCAGGGGGTAGGGCCTGAGTATGTATGTTTGGAAGGGGGAACACGGCTTGTGTATATCGCACACTGCCCCCCCTCCCACCGTTGTTGGAGCCGTGCGGCGAGGATTGCGATGCGATCCCACCGTTGGCGCACAGCTGAACGATGCGTCGGTGTTGCCCGTTTTCATGTGACAGGTTGCGTTCTCTTTTGGGGCATCGCGCGGTGGCGCCGTGTCTTGGGCTAGGGGACACTTGTGAGCGACGCCTCAAACGGAAAATGATGTTCCCACCAAGGTTCCAGGATTTCGTTTCCCAAGGGGGTGATTGCCTGCCTTGTTCCGGAAGGGGTGTCCCCACCCGTCCCTTCCCCTCGCGTCCCCCCGCCCCCTCCTCCTGTTGTAGCTGCTTTGGCTTTCGAGGTGATGGGCACGCCCAATGTTTTGGTTTTTATTTCCATATTATCCATATATCTGGCTGCTTGCGTGATGTCTGGCGCAGGTGCAGGCGCCGCGGTCGCCAAGGCTTCCTCGTCTGCGCCGCAGCCGCGGAGGCAGCGCCGTTCAGCTGCGGCTGCGTCTGCTGCCGCGGCCGACGAGGAGCACGCGCCGCCCAGGAAGAGGCGCATGATGGGGGCAACCTGCAAGTGCGGCTTGTGTTCGGCTTCTCCGAAGGACACCTTTTCCTGTCAAACCTTCTACCACCCACCCTGGATCCTTTCTCCATTCCCACCGCGACTTTGGTGGGGAGGTGGCCTGTTTCTCTGTTTGCAGCCCTGCGCGTGCAAGCATTCGCTGGTGTTGAAACGAGGTCGAGCGACCTTGGGCTTTGGCCCTCGGTCTTGCGACCTCGATTCGACGCCGACGAGTGCCATCCTTGTTGGATGCACGCGCGCGCTGCTTCTCCCAGGAGAAGAAGTGGGCCAAGTTCAAGCCTGGCAGGCTCGGCCAAGAGGAGACCACCCCTCTGGATGACAAGTGCCAGGAATGCGATACGCTGCACAACGCAGCATGGACGCACTTGACCTGGGAGGAGCTGTGTGACCAGAATGCGCACGACTCAGCGATGGCATCAGAAGTGGCCAACTCTCGGGCCGTCATGAACAAACAGAAGGCCGCCCCGTCCGCGAAGATCGAGCTGTCCTCCGAGACGGGTGCCTCCGCAACTTTGACCCGCCAGTACATCGTTGCCAACGAGTCTGAGATCAGGCAGGCCGCGAACTCGCAGGGCGTGCAGCGCCGCACGATCCCGAAGCAGGCTCTGGACGGCATCCCGAAGATAGAGGTCCCATCCGAGGAGGACCCTTCGCGTGATGAGACCTTGTACTGCTTCGAGAACCCTGACGCGCCGTTCAGAGTTTTAGGCGTCAGCGTGCACTTCGGCACCAAGAGGGAGGCCACCAAGCTGGACAAGAGCAACTTCCTCAGGGACGGCCAGGACGCGCAGTACACGAGATTCTTCCACAAGAAGGACTTCAAGGAGAGGGGCATCGAGAACCTTCTGAAGAAGGACAAGAGCATGCACCTCAAGACCATGTCGCACTTCATCCGCGCGAGGCTCGGTGGTGCCAGGGACGGCGAGGATGGCAAGGACGGCGGCGAGAAACCCAACGCTTGTCCAGATCATGATGGGATTGATGGTGAAGAGCTGACGGACGATGGCACATCTCAGCATCCCATGCTGAATAGGCTGAAGAGCTCCGATTGCCTGGGTCGCCTACCTCGTGCCAGCAGGGGTTCCAGCAGCGCTGACTTTTTGCCCGACGCGCCCTCGCGCGCCGACGGTGCGGACAGCCAGAGCGTCGGGAGCGACTCGGGTGACGACAAGAAGAGCAAGGCCAGCACCGTGGCGACGGCCGTGACCCGCATGACCAAGAGGATGGCCGCGGGAGCGTCAGCCTCTCCGCAGCAAGGACCTTCTTCGGATCTGGTGTTGCGTTGGTCGGGTGCCGCCGCTGCCAGGGGCATTGGGTATGGAAGAACAGGTTTCTGTGGTTCGGGGGAAGGGTGGGACGGGGGTTTGGAGGAAGGAGTGCGGCGCCCACGTGGGATGTCTCTTCTTCCAGTCTTCGCCCAGCCTTCCCCAACGGATCCTCCACCCCCCTTACTCCGATAGCCCAACCCCCCTAACGATCCCCATCGCCCCTGGCGGCGCGGGGCCATCGACTGATGCGACGCCGCATCTGATCGCAGGCGGCCTCGAGAAGTGGAAAGCGAAGATCTCGCTGACCGCAGTCATGGACGGGATGCAGGATGGCAGATCCATTGCAGGTGCGAAGAAGGCCTTGTCAAGACTCAAGCAGGGAGATGACGCCGCCAACAACTTGGACGCTCAGCTCCTCTCCAACTTCCTCAAGCAGGTCGCCGCCTCCGAGAACTTGCAAGCGGCCAACATCCCAGGCATCCTGGAGGAGGAACTGGCCGCCAACCTCGCCATCATCGAGAAGGACAAGGCGGAAATCCCCGCGTCTGTCAAGCACGCGCTCCTGACCCGTCGGATCCAGAAGCTCTTGGGCCAGCGCTCTTACAACGAGCTCATCGACGTGTGCAGCCCATGGAACATCAGCGATGGAGCTGCGGTGTTCAACCCTCTGGCGCCCACGATGTCGAGTGCTGGCGATAAGCTCATCGACAGGATCAAGATCTTCAACAACGTCATCTTCGAGCGCACCATCCTCCCTCTTTTGGGCGAGGGCCAGCCCAAGGCAGACGTCATCGGTCGGCTGGTCTCATTGTGCATCGAGCATTTCGAGAAGGTTGATACGCTCGAGATGGGGAACGATGAGGTGGCAGCGTTGACCGACTGGATGACTTGCTGGGGCTGCATCGAGGCGCTGTTGTCTACCGGCCTGTGCCAGCACCGCAAGGACCTCTGTTGCAATTCGTCCCTTCCGCCGCCGTCTCCACCCCGTTACTTCTTGCCCCCCCCTCAGCTCGCGACCCTGCCTCCTCTGACCCCCGCGCCGATCGACCTCCTCCTCCTCCGCCTCCTTCGACCCTCATCTGCCGAGTCTGTGTCCTCACTTCACCTCGTGGTCGTTGCGTTGGGCGTCATCGTATGTGCATCCCTGCATCGGGATCGGGGGGGGGGGGGGGGGGCGTTAGGCGGTCGCGTGCCGTCTTTGAAGATTTAAGGGGGTAGCAACTCTGAAACCCAAGTTTCTGGGCCAGCATGCATCCAAACCGCGTCGTCAGCATGGTTGCTTTCGGGTGAAAGGGAGGGGGGCCTCCTGATCACCCCTGGGCCCTCCCGACCATCGCCGCGCCCTCCCCCGCTCCCCATCGGCCGTCCTCGGCTTCAATCGGCCCTCGGCCGCTCCGTCGGCCCCCCTTCGGACCCGCTCGTTCACCATCCCGCCCTCGCCCCCTGCCCCCCCCCTCGCCCTCTTGGGCTGAAGGCGGAGAACGGGGGATGGGGGAGCGCCTAGTCGGAATGTGTGTCACTCGCCCGATCGCGGTTCTCTCGGCGTCCAGGGTAACTTTCACACCCCAGTGCAGGACGACGTTGCGGAAGTGCATCGCCAGATCGGCAGCACCTCGAGTTCGGTGGTCACGTTGGTTGCGTCCTCGCTGTCAGCGCAGACGTTCTGGGATGCGAGGCTCCAGGCGTTCGTTTCGCACCAGCCGAAGGCGAGTGAGCTCGCGCAGATGTACACGGATACCGCGGGCAGGATCAAGGCCTTGACTGATGATGCTGCGACGGTAGTGCCTGAGCTGCTGGAGCTCACGGAGAGGGTAATCACGATGAAGGGTGCCCTCCGCCCTGGTGTGACTGATGCTATGCAGGCCATGCTGAAGACGAGCTACCAGGCCGTCTGGAAGAAGATCAACAGCGGCGGCGTTGCAGATGCCACCATCGGCGGGGTGTTGCAAGCGTGGCAGAAGGGCGTCACGGAGTTGCAGATATTGTACCCGATGGACCCTGAGGTTCACGCCATGCACCAGGAGAGCGGCCAGAAGTTGCAGGCGATGCAGGCCGAGAGCAAGGCCACTGACATTCTCGACAAGATGTCTTCGTTGTTCCCCGCGCTCGGGAAGGATGTGGGCGCGCAGGACTGGCTCGACAAAATCAACGTGGATGAAGCCCGCCAGGTTTGCGCCGCCCTGGGCGAGTCCAGCTCGAACGTTGCGCACTCGCCCGTCATCGGCAAGCTGAGGCTGGCTGTCCGTGACCTGTTTTCGTGCATCGCGCCCATTCTCGTGACGCTGATTGCCGACGACATCAACCTTCGCTACGAGGACCGCGTGACGTTGGCGGACGAGCTGGCGCAGCTCTGCGGGGATCCGTGGTACACATCGCGGGCGGAGTTGTTGAACAAGCTTCTGGCGCTCTGCCGCCAGTACTACGAGATGACCAAGGAGACCTCGAATGCCGACGCGATCTCCCAGACGGAGGGCGCACTGGGGGCGACCGTGGAGCTCGACAGGAGCCTCAAACAGGTGACGGGCATCAGCTCGAAGATCGAGGTTGAGGACTTGCCGACGGAGGTGTCGCACATCACAGGGGTAGCAGAGAACTTGAAGAATAAGCTGTACGAGAAGTTCCTGGGCGACAGCTTGGGGCGCCTGATCTCGAAGACGACGGAGCTGCGCGACCTGGTCTCCGTGGAGAATGGCGGCGTGAACTGGCTCGACGCGTTCACGGGCACCAGCTTCCAGGACGTCATCGAGCACGCCAGGACCACGCTCATGACGATCGACCCGAGGGCGGTGGTCAAGCAGTTGGCGGGCATCAAGGAGGATCGAGATCGTTTCGTCTCTTGTTCCCTCCTCCTCCTCCCCATTCTCTGGTGTGGAGGGGATGGCTGCTTCCCCTCCCGCCCTCTCCTCCAACCTTTTCGCCCGTCGACTTCTGTCACTGCCCCTCGTCGCCCATCCTTTACAGTTGGTTCGTCGTGGGGCGTCCGTCGTTGGCAGGCCAAGCAGAAGTACACGTACTGCGCGACGCTCGCTGGCGTTGCACCCAACGGCGACGCGGTGGCAGCAGCGGCTTCGCAACAGGAGGCCGCAGAGAAGGTTCGGTTCCAGGCGGTGCTCATGCACCACTTCAGCACGATCGCAGGCGCAGCGGAGCTGCGGCTCCAGATCCAGGCAGAGATCAAGGCCGAGAAGGCCGTGGCGACTAACTACAACGCGTTGCTCCCGAGGGAGCTGCAGCGGAGGGTCAAAGATGCGCTGGTGCTCAAGCCAGCCTACGATAAGTTGTGATGGATCGGCCCCTCGTTGGAGGGCCGAGGGCGGCCGCGGCGGCCGCTCGCCACTACAGGGGAGGAGGGGGATGATCAGGAGGAGTGAGGGTACAGGAGGGCTCAGGAGGAGGAGGAGGATCCAGGAAGGAGGTTCACGTGGAACGCCGTGGAGGGAAGCGCCTCCACGGCCGCGAGCTGCGGCGCCTCTGGGGCGCGAGAGGTTGGCCCGCGCGGAGTTCGCGCGGCGGAGGGGCTAACAATTAAAATCGCTGATATCGGTCATCCTCGGCCTCCCTCCTCCCCCATTTGTTTAATCAAGATGTGAACGCAATCTCGCCGACCCCCGAACTGAAAACGAGTTTGGAGATGCAAGTTTTACTTTGAATAACGTCCATGGGCCTTCCGCGAGGCCTGCTACCGCCGCGAAGTGTTTGCGGTCGTGGGACCTCTGAGGGTTCGCGCCTAAGGGTCTCTCGGGGTACTTCTCGCAGGCCACCTGGCAGTAGTTTAGGGGCCTAGTGAGTGGCTCCGTCTGAGCCTCTTGGGTCATCTTCGGGTTTCTTGGGGCATCGTTTGGGCATCTTGCTGCGTCCACTGGGCTTTTCTTCGGAGGGTGCGGGACGTGGGGCCCAGTCCCCGCCACGTTCTCTCCACCGCCTTCCCCTCCTGTGTCTCCCGCCCCTCTTCACCGCCCAACGCCCTTTGCTGCCACCCCCCCTCCCCCCCGCCCGTTCCCCATCATCACTCCCACCATCTCGCTCGCACTGTCCTTCTCCTTCGGGCCCGTTCGCGGCCCTCGCTTGCATCGCCCTCCCGCGCTGACCTTCTGTTGTTCTCCTGCTGTTTCGATTCTCTCTCTCTCTCCCGTTCCCTCGCCATTTTGGTCCGCCGTTCCTCCTCCATCCTCTTCCCTCCCTTCCCTCCCCTTCCTCTTCCATGCTCTTCCCTCCCTTCCATCCTCTTCCCTCCCTTCCCTTACCTTCCATCCCCTTACCTCCCTTCTCTTCCTCTTCCCTCCAACTTCCAGCGTTTCTCCTCCATCCTCTTCCCTCCTCTCGATTTGTTCACGCGGGGATTGCGAACGTTCTTGATGATTCGGCGCGGCGCTTAGGCCCCGCAGGCCTTCCGCGATACCTACATCTACGGATCGCCAAGAAATTCCTGGAACATGCGACATACATTCGCACTGTTATTTCAGTTACTTCTACAAAAAGACCAAAACCTATCAGCGAGTTACTTCTAAGTTACTTCGATTTTTTTGGTAATCATCGGTTCCAGCAGGGCACACACATCATAAGTCAAGATGCGCCGGGGGTTGCCCCCCGCCAGGAAACCCGGCGTGGGCCGGCAATGGCTTCGCGGGGTCTTAGCAGGATTGCGCATTCCCAGGTGCGACTTCAATGCGGCCAATGTTTTTTTCCTCTGATGTCGCGGGGTGCATGAAGGTCGGGTCTGAGCGGCGCATTCCTGCTAAACTTTCTCGCGGGCCCCCCCAGGGCCGCCCTCTCATCAGAACTCTGTGGGCCCAGGGGATGGGCCGTATTTGCCGCCATCTCGCTGGCGCTGCGCGCGCTGGCAATGGGCGTCTTGCCATTCCGCCGCCGCCAGGGGGATTCCGTGAAGCGCGGGCTGTGCGCGCTGTCCGATCCCCCCCCTTCTCTTCACTGCTGGTGCGTGTGCCGATGGCGCGGGGTTCCCCTTCCCGACCCCCCCCTGAGTTCTCTCCTCCATCTTTTCTCCTGTGCTGCATCGCGGCTTGCGCTTCTCGAGCCCCAGCCCGGGACATGCTGTCTCGTGCCGTTGGAAGACTCGAGGGGGGGATGTAGTTGCGCTCCGCCGTGATGTTGAGGGGTTGGTTTTGCCGTGGTCTGAGTCTGACACTTGCGGTCGCTGCCGATAGTTCGGGGCCCAGGTCGGCCTCGACGTTTGGGGCCAGAAGTGGCAGTCGCGTTGTTGGATGGTCGCTTCCGCGAGAGCGCCTGCGGATGCCGCCGGCGGCCTTCATCGCGTGCTCTTTCTCCACTGTCTGTCTTGCGCTGCTCAGTTCCACCGTCTCCCGCCGCGCCTGCTCCAGCGTGCGCTTCCCGCGAACTCCTCAGGTTGCCTCCGTCGAGCTTCAAATTGCCCGAACTGCATCTCTCTGCTGCATGCGCGCCCCAGAGCCTCTGCGCCGCGCCATGGAGGGGGGGGGGGGCGCGCGCGGCGGGCAGCGGGTCGGGCGTTCAGACGGTGGGGGGGGGGGGCCGTCGAGTACATCCAAGCTCGCGACGTAGACTGTTGACCTTTCCGTCGCGCACTCGCAGGGAGGTGGCGTGCAAGCTTGTGGAGACATGCGACCTCTATTGTCCAGCTCCGCGCTCGTTTTTCCTCCCTTCGTCGGAGCCTCGTTCTCATGTTTTTTTCTCGCCTCCTCTTTTCCCCTCGCGTTTTCTCAATGCCCGCGTTGGCGCCGTGGCACCCTCTCGCAAAACCACTGCTGAGGATATGCCGCCTCGATGCCAGGCTCAGTTTTCCCCAGCCATCCGGATGCAATGCTTCCCTGACCGCCTTGCAGTTCTCATTGCCAGGAGGGGCCGGACGTGGTCTCCGCAGCTCGCCCTCCCTGGTCTCCCAATTCTATGCTGGCGATGGTGCTCTCTCGCGGCGGTTGCTGACCCGGCAGCCTTCCAGTCGTGCCTGGCATCGCCTCGAGGTGTTGGCGGGCGCGTGGGTAATTTCTGGTTGCGTGATGATCCTCGCGCAACGCCACTATAGGATGGGTCGTGATGGCTTTGGTTCTCAGGCTCATTTTATCGCGCGCCCCACCTTGTGGGAGGCTGTCGATCTCCAGCTCGCGTTCTTTCCCCTGTGCCCTCCCTGGCGCGGCTTGGTTTGGGAGGTGAGTCAGCCGCGAGGGCGTGGGCTCCTCGCGCATTCGCCATCGCAGAAGGCCCATTTTCTTTTATCGCATCTACCACAGGCGCAGGCCCGCTCTCGGCCAGCAGGAGGTTGCGTGGCAGGCGCAGATCGCGCAGGTTTCCCGCGCGGCCCGCGCCGCTTACGGTCCAGGATAACCAGAGCGCGTTCGCCAAAGTCACGCGCGCTCCACTTCTCCCCGCGCCGGTCGCGGAGGAAGCGCTCAGAATCCTCGGCCCTGGAACCTCGAAGCTCGGCGCTCGAAACTCGAACCTTGATTCCTTTCCCTTCTGGCCCCCCGCCGCGCCGGTGCTGTCGCAGACTCTGGGCGCGGCCGGGCTGGATGCGCCCTGGTCCGTTTTTTGTTCGTCCCATACATATTATAGATGTTTGTATGTGTGTGTATATATATAAATATTTTTAGAGATGTCTATATATATGTGCATACATGTACATATATACATATATATGTGCGCATACAAACAATACGTATATATATGCATATATATTTATATATGTATCTGTATGTACGTATGTATGCATGTATGTATGTATGTATGTATGCATGCATGTATGTATGTATGTATGTATGTATGTACGTACGTATGTATGTATGTATGTATGTATGTATGTATGCATGTATGAATGTATGTATGTATGTATGTATGTATGTATGTATGTATGTGTGTAAGTGTATGTACATATATATATATATATATATACATTTTTATATATATATATATATATATATATATATATATATCATATTCACACATGTGTGCAAGTCTTGCCTACCGGGAGGGGGCGGCGCAGGCGCGCGGGAGTTTTTTTTTCACCCCGGAATTGGCCCCCAACGACTGACCGCTCAGGGATACAGGGGAACTCGGGGATGCACCGCCGGAGCTGCTGTTCGGACGCACCCCCCTTCGAGCACGGGCGCCCCCCTTGCGTGCATCCCCGGAATTGCCAGAAATTTGCGCGTCCAGTCGAAAGCCCCGCGATATCGGAGATTGGGGTCGCCAAACCCACCGTTATCAGCGTTTTTATGCCATTGTCTGGGGTAGAGGCGCAGGCCCCCTGCGCTCGCGGCTGGGGCGCCAGCCCGCGATCCGATTGCCCGGCTCTTCCTCCTGGGGCCAGCGGCGCTCCAGAGCGTGGCGCCGCGACGCCTGGGCGCTGGCGCGCGTCGGCCAACGAGGCCACGCGGTCCGCGCTTGCCGCGCTGGCGCGCAGGAAGCCCTTTAGCTCCGCGCCCATACTGCTGGTAGACTCGAGGGACGGCGGCGCAGAGCCCTGGGCCTGGGCGCGCTGGGCGTGCCTCTCGCGGTCCTGCTCTCGCGCCGCGAGGCCGGCCGTCGCGGCCCGTCGGCGCTGGGCAAGGCCTTCAGCAGGTGCTAGGGCTGCGGCGGTGCTCGCGTCGCAGCACGAGGGTACTCCAGCACTGCATCGAGGGCGCCATGTTGGATGCCCCCGTGTGTCCGCCCAGGTGGGGATGCGCTGCTCGAAGCTGGCGGCGTTCTGCTTGTAGTGCTCGGCGAGCCACTCGCCCAGCGTGCCCCGAGTCCCGTCTTGGCGGATCACGATCCCCGGTCCCGCGAGCCATGGGGCACTTGCTGGCATGTTCTGCGTGCGCCTCGTGCGTCGATGCCCCGCGATGCCGCGGGCGTGTTACAGCAGGGCCATCCGCCAGTGCCAGCTAGGTCTTGCAGCCGCCGCCTGCGCCAGGTCGTGGCGAACTCATCGTCGCCGAGCGGTGCTGAGGCCGCGTGGGCGCTGCGAGCGCAGCGGGCCTTGCCTCCGCCGCGGGACTGCAGGGGCACTGCTTCTGGCCCAGAGAGGCGGTCGAGGAGCCAGCGGCGCTGGCGCCCCACCACCTGCCAGACGTAGATTCTTTGCCCGCCCACGCGCCCAGGGGTCCCGAGGGCACCCGCGCGCCGTCGGCGCGGAGCCTCGCCCTGGTCTCGCACACTGCTGCCAGGAGCTCTCTGCCTCGCTCCCTGCTCACTTCCCTTCCCTCCCTGCCCCCTCCCTCCATGGCCGTCTTGGCTCGCGATGCAGCAAGAA